AAAAAAAAAATCGGCAAAAAAAAAAAAAAAAGTTGAAGGGTTTGGGTAAAAACAATGTAGAGCCGGGATGGTTTGGGGGTGATAATTGCGGCTCACCTGCCCCCAAACCAGCAAAACCAGCCGGGTGGTTACGGCTTCGCTGCGCTCCGAGTTTCAGTGCGGGGTTAACCCTTTCCTCAGCACGGGGCTGTTCCTCCTGGGGTCGATGTGAATCCCGATTTTCCCCTGTCCCCGTGCCCGGGGAGGTGTCCTGGCCGTGCCCAAGGTCGGAGCTGTACGTGAGCAGCTCGGCATTCCCCAAATCCCCAGCGCTGAGCTGTCCCTGTGACAGACAGGTTGTACCTCGCAGGAATTTCTGGGAAGGGAGGAATGAATCACAGCAGGGCCAGATCACGAGATGGGGAGAGCGCGGGATGAGTGTCCAGAGACACCGGCACAAAAAAACCACTGCTGTCAGTGCCCCAGGCTCGGGGATGAGCCAGCCAGAACCAAGGAAGGAACGAGAAAATAATCAAAAATAAAGCTCAGTGCCCTGGGCAAGCAGCAGGGGCCGAGGCTGTCTTGCTCTTGGAGCTGTGGATATTTTTTTTTTTTAATTTTTTTTTTCTTTAATTATTTTTTTTTCCATTATGGTTTTTTTTTAATTATTTTTTTTTCCCATTTCTTTTCCTGCTCTCTGTCTCTTCCTGCCCTGACGCACAGCATGTGATGATGGGTGTAGATCAGGGCAGATCAGGGAGGATCCTCCTAATCAAACCCACATTTCTCCGCATTGTCTGCGCTCAGCCAAACCCCCGCACTCGTGATGTTTCCGTGCTGCTCTGAAACGCTGCACRAAGGTAGAAATTCCCCAAATAGAAATTCCCCAAGGAAAAGAATTATTCCGTATCGCCCTGAGAGCGAAATTCCCAGAAATTCCGCGGCGCTGGGAGCAGGGAATGCTGAGCCTGGAGCAAGAGGAGGGGTCTCTATCCCAAAGGAAATGCTCTCCGTGGCTCTCCCGGTTTTCCTGCCCTTTCCATGGCCTCGATCCCGCCCGTTTCTCCCACGCTGTTCCYTCCCAGGCACATCTGCTGCTTCGTTCCGGGCCCTTCTCTCGTTTCACGGTGACATTGGTTATTTATAGCGYGTCCCGAATCCCCCAGCGTCCGTCCTGGAGGTGCTGGGTGCAAAATTTATATAAAAAATTGTTTGGAAAAATATTGGGTATTTTTAATGAAAATATTGGGCGTTAATAATCAAAATATT